ATCCTGGTCCGCTGACTGCTTCTCTAGAACGCACCCGAAAGACGCGCATATGAGAGTGCAAATCAGCCGATCTCTAACTGCAAAGTGTTTACTAAAAAAGCTAATGGTCTGGTGCACTAACCACACCTCACTCTGCCCGTGTTCAGGCAGCTCTCTCACCTAAAACACATGGAGAACATCCAGTAGTGTTAAAATGCCTGAATCAGACCGTTTCCTTACTGTATGCAACACGTGAGAAAGGACAGCTGCAGAAAATATTGTAAACGGCTTACTGACAGTCAGCTGATAAGAGCCGCTAATGTGCAAACACCTGTACGTCACCTGCTGTGGTGTTCCATGCAGCAGTTGAACTGAAACAGCTCTCTGTGATAAAGTAAAACTTCCCTCTCTTTAAGAATAAAATCTAACTTTTAATGTCCTCCCTCATAAATCTGAATGAACTACATGAGCAACTAGTTAATACCGTGACCAACCCATAATAACCAGCTTTGCCTCCTTCCTCTGTCTCACTCTCTGGAGCTACTGCAAAATTAAAAAACATTCAAAGTGTCTTTCCATCTGTTCAGGTCTTACAGTGACACAGCTGATTGCACCTGAACCACAAACTCCCACAGAAATCCGAATCTCAAACACTCCAAATATGTCCGAGCATATTCAAAACCCGCTGAAAGCAATTACTCTTAATTTCATACGTTTAAAAACACACATTCGGACGCTGAAGAATGAGAGCTGTGTCGGCGCTAATTTGAGCAAAATGGATTCCTTATGTTTGCAGAACCACTACGTTGAAACTAGAAACTCCCCGCTTGTCATTTCGCAGCACAGACGCACAGCTAATCATCACTGAAGGTCAGTCGTCAAGTTATCCTGGAGCAGGAACACGGGACAGCCCGCTGACAGGAAACTGTGGCTCGATGATTAAAATCAGATTACAGATGTAGAGGGAATCACGACAGAGCGACTTTTACCCACCGTGCTGCTAATTGCTCACCAGTTTAATAAAAGCCAATTACTCTGTTACACACACTGTTTTCATTTCACAGCGCCATCAGCAGCCATCATCTGGAGATGCTCCGGCTTTTGGAGTGTACGCTCAGAGGCCGGAGCAGACAGGTTGATCCAGACTGAAGACATTATTTCCACCAAAGGAAGGAGTGTGTGGGATATGATTATTTTTAGAAGCATTAGGAGCTGTGGCATAATTTTGGATCTGCGGCTGACATAGTGCAGGCTACCTTACAAGTGTGGGTGTGTGTGTGTTGTTACCGAGTGCACTCTTGCCTAGTCATCTCACTGTTTGGTTGAGATCTAAGCAGCCATAGTAGCAAAGCTGGGTAAAGCGGATGTGAGGGAAGGTGGGATGAATGCTGAGGATGGAAGTAAGGAAGAAATTAAGGGCTAAGGCGGGATGGAAAGAAGTTACGTCCATTTTTAGTGAGTATCCCATTATATCCTACAGCTGCATTAGACTGTGGCCGGAAATGGCCTCCCTCTCTGATTTGCAAGGTTGCTCCTGATGCATTCATTGGAGTGTGAATGTTAGATAGAAGGTACTGAGGAGAAGAAGGAAGTGCTTGTAGAGTGATTCATCACTCCAGAGAACACGTCTGCACTGCTCTAGAGTCCAGTGGCGGCGTGCTTTACGCCACTGTATTCGATGCTTTACATTGTGGCCACATGAAGTTTGGAGGTTTGTAGTGATTGACTGTGCAGAAACACCGCTGTGCACTATGACCCTCAGCATCCGCTGACATTGATCCAGTTTGCACTCTTAATGCTAAGCTAACAGACTGATGGCTCTACCTTTGCAGTTTTTCTCCATTGCTTTGACATAGTTGTCACATCATTCACAATCACAGCGACTGAGGAGAATTACCTCTACAGACACTGAGTGTAGTGTCAGTCTCATTATCTTCTCAGCAAGTTAACAAAGATGGGCATTTCTTTCCAGGCAGTGTTTCTTTAATGGTGGCCTTTAAACCTGGGGGCACTATTTCTTTATTTTAAAAAATATCCCATATGGAAAAGATATATATAAATCTTATAAAGTTTGTATCTGTCTTGTGTGAAACTTGTATGAAAAGCATATAAGAGTGAAAACAGATATAAGATCCCTTGAAAAATTATATAATGAAACTTGTATGTTTTGGATACTTACTAAAACAATGTATGTATCCCATATGGGATGTTACAACTCATTCCTAGAATAATTACACTCTAAGGTACATTAAAGTAGAATTTTAAATATGTTCTTTTAAAAAACTAATTTTATATCCAGCATATTTCTGTTACAGCAAATGAATGAAGAATGAAACAGTCGTGCTCTCTGTGAGCAGGAAGCCAAGTTTCCATTTTTAACTAATACATGAGACAAGGTATAAATACTGTTAAAACACAGAGAATGAATTAATACTAAGACTTTTTTTCCTCTCTCTATTTCCAGTTAAAAGTTTGTTGGTTACTCACTCAGACACTGGTGCCACAGCGTTTTTTCCCTTCAGCCAAAATTATTGAAAATCAACTCATTTTAAGGCGAAATGCTCACAGAGATATTCCTTAATATTCACGATCGGCTGTAAGCCTGACATGCTTAAGTATTAATTACAGATAAATAAGAGGATGAGAATCTGGGCGACACTTAGGAGGATTACTACTAACAAAATCTCTTAACAAGTCTCTGTAACGCTTCTGCAAATATCTGCCTCAATTTAAGCCCCAACCTTCCCCACAGGACTATCTTACCTTTCCCATGCAGGATAGCCACGTTCAAGCCTGGGTCACTGTCAAAGGCCTTCAGCTCCTCCAGCAGACGCCTCGCTGTCTCCTGGTTCACCGCATTACGCACCTCGGGCCGGTTTATTGCCACAGTAACCACGGATCCCGTTCTCTCCGAGACCACAGTCTGACCTGCAGCTAATGACAGAGAACGAGAAAGATGCACAGGGAGAAACCAGTGCGGCCCACAACACTTAGAAAGAGGCTTACCCAGAGACGTTAAGCTTTAACTTCACAGTAGGCGGGATGGAGATGGGACGTAAATTGTCTTATGTGGACAGAGTTGATAAAATAATGACAGTGAACGAGGCTCTGAAAGATATCATCTGGGTTGAGGTGAGCACTTTGGGTCAGTGTGTGTGTGCCAGTGATTGTGGCCTTAACTTGCAGCAGGCAGTCAACCTGACATTGTTTAGGTTCATCCCGGGAAACCGAGCGTCAACCACACCCAGAGGAAACTACATCCAGGAGAGAAGCTACTGGATGTGTTCACCTCACAGGCTATTCTGAGGATGACAAAGCCCGGTGAAGTGAGGCACGAAGACAATTTGTCTCACACCGCATTTTACACTCATACACTACCAGAGTGATTTCAAGGGAAAAGAAGCGTTTTAAGCGGTGTTGTGTGCGCTCAACACCGCTTGCAGAGGTCATACAGAAAGCTGTTTTGCCATAGACTTATGTCTTTTAGCAATCACAGCTATCTGAAATAACTTCATAAAGTCTGGAGGCCGATTACTCAAGAAGAGCAATTTAAAATGACAAGAAAGTCTGGCTTCTTGGAAGGAAAATAAAAAAAAAAAAAAAAGCTCAAATTTATTATTATTATTACTTTTCCCTCTTAGGAACTAAAAAAATAAATAACATCTGCTGTGAACAAGGATTATAAAATAAATACTGAAAAATACCCCAAAATTAAATCACAGCTGTTCATTAGATTGTTTCACCTTACTAGCAGCCTCTACTGCCCCCTAGCGTCCATATCATGTAGTTGCACTTTCCTCTCACCTCTTCCCGTGTCTTCGCCTCCATGCTGAGCGCTGTAGGATTTTACTGGAACTAAAATTGTCTTTATAGAGTCTTTTCCAAATGTTTTACTCTGACAATTAAACCTTAAAAGTGGTGTCAGTGTCCGCAAATGTTTTAGCGCCATTGCTAACACTCGCATGAAAAAACCTAGAAGGTCTAAATAAAAACTTTAAAAAAAAAAACCCGACAAAGTTCAGTGAAAAATATCTCAAAGCAAAAATATAACCTCAGCTGTACTTGACGAAGCTGGCTTCGATTGAACTGTGCTATCAAGGAGCAACTCTTTTACCTTCCCGACTGAAACAAAAACAAATGCAAAAGGTTCTGGGACGCACACAAGCTTGGTGCATTGCAGTGGTAAAAACCGGAAACACACAGCAGAGGGAGACACCGAGCCTTAAATCCACAGTTTTCCTTGCAAAGCCAGGCATGCCAGGCTTTGTGAAGCTGGAAATAATGAGAGCAAACTCCACATCAGATTCTCTTATTTCTGTTTTTAATAAAAGATTTCTCTTTTGTGTTTTTTTCCTGTTTGTTTGTACACATTTTAAGGCATCATGCACAAAAAATAAGCTTTACTAAAGGCATTATGCTTACCCTCTACCAAAAAAACAAACAAACAAAAAAAGCCAACTGTATGTTCTCACATTTGAAGATTTGCTGTTAAAAATAATTTTGTACAAATATGGCATGTAAGCTGGCATGTGAGTGAATCTCAAAGCAGGGCGTCTCCTGCTCTCACAGTTTTGTAAACATGGCTTTGAGCAAAATAGGGCTGAGGAAAAAGTCAAGAGAAAGGGAAAGCATGCTTCAACTGTGGGGTGAAATTTCCCTGAAAAGCATGCAATGCATTTGAAATCGTATTTACAATGCATTATTTCACTCTCGACTGATCTTTTTTTCTTTTCTTTTTTTAATGTAATCAATTAAAGTTAAGACATTTAATGTCAACATTAACAGACAGACAGAAAGACAGATGCGTCCATAATGTTCCCCCACACGGAGTCGCCGACACAGACAATGTTCAGATTGGTCAACAAACAAAAACACTACAAGATTTTTTTTTTATTATATCAAGCATTTGAGTTATACTTCCAGATAAATGATCTGGAAAATAAACAGAAAAAATTGTGTTGTTAACTTTATAAATAAAAGTGAAACCCCCCCCCCCAAAAAACCCCCAAAAAAACAAAACAAAAAACAACAGCAAGGCTTTAAAAATTAAAAATTAAAAAAATCTTGCAGCGTCCATCATGGCAGACTTCCGGGAGGTGCCGGTAGCTTTGGCACAGTTGTGTCCAGTTGTGCTCTTCTGTGGTGAGCCGTGTGTATTATACTATATTGAAGACCATGGAAAGATACTGTTCATATGAAACCTGGATCCAGCCGTCCTGATCCGTATCATATCGCCTGAAAACATCAGTCAACCTCTGCAAAAGCACAGAAAAAGGATTTACTGCAGATTAGCCAGAAGCATTATCTCATTATTATTAATACCATTTACTTCTTTAGGCTTTTTGTCACACTTAGCAGCCTCTTCTAAAGCTGCATGAAATTACTGAGAAGGAAGAAACTGGCTCATAAAAATACATGATTGAAAGTCCACTTCAAGTCTTTTACATGCACACTACAGTCAGTGCGACTCTGTTACCTGCAGTACAATACAGCACTGGATGAAGTCATCGAAGGCCACCTGTCCCTTCCTCTGGCGGTCGAACTTCTCTATCAGTGTGCCGTAGAACTGGTCCGATAGACGATAGCCTGCACACAACAGTAACACAGCCGTCATTTCAAAGCTGTCCTACACATTCACCCACTCAGTTTGTTTTCTGATAAAGGATGATTTATAATGCATTTGATTTCTGGTCTAAACTCTGCTATGGCAGATGCTGGACGTTCACCTCTGGGTCTTTGTTGAGGTGGGAATCACCACGCACCCTGCAACATCATACGATTGGGATTTGTTTTCTTTACTTTTGCAAAATGCTATCACAAAAACATTTACTGCGATTTATTACCTTTTTTAATTGCAAGCTATGTCCTCAAAGTACAGCTTTCTCAGTATCTGTTTTATCCAATAAGATACAGCTCATTTCACTTATTTCTGTGCTACAAAATGAAACACACAGCAACATTGTCACTGAATAATAAAGTATTGATATTGGATGTCCCTATATCGATACGATATTGCCACACAAACTATCAGGATGCCATGCTGTGTCGATTTCTTTCCCCACCCCTTAATTTGTATCCTGGACCTTGAGACTGTGAGAAGCTCCTGGAGCCACTGAGGGCATGACAGCCTCTACATACACGAGGCTCCTGGCCAGGTAATGACTTTTAAGTGAACCATGACATATGCAAATTGACTGTGGCAGAGCTCCAGGCTGGGTGGAATGAACGCAGACTGGCTTGGGCAGAAGAACAAGTTGTGGCTGTACTCGAGACATGTTATGATACGGTCAGATTAAGGCATTCACGGGACAGCCGCCATCGGTGTGATACTGTACATCTGCTTTACTGAGACGCTCCTGCCACTGCCAGTGAAAACAATACAGTGAATATGAGCCTCTGTGTCTTCTGATCTTCAGGAGTCTCGTGAAGCAGATTTAGAAAATACGGAAACACAAAGAAACACCAAAAACATGCAAAGTAAAACAGCTATTTAGAAGAAATCTTTCTTTTTCATTGACCACAAACGTAGCCCACAGGCAGCTTTCACTCTCATTTCATTCACAGGTTCTTTTTTTATTTATTAATTTGGTCACTTTACTGCTGATTAGTAAATTATTTAAATTGATTTTAATACTGACAAAACACATCTGCTCGATTTGGTGAAAGAAAATTGTTTCATAAAAGTTGGAGAAAAATGAGACTGGAAAAAGCTGCATAATGCTTAAACAGCACCAATGAGCAACTCATCAGGTTAATGAGCAACACGACAGTCTTAACAGTGTAAAGACAGCATAGACACACAGTCTAATAGCCGTATTTCTTATTGTATAAGTACAGTACAAAGCAGGTAATACTATCTGCTGTTCAAAAAATCCTTTAAATAAGCACACAGCAGACAAGGCTGAAAACCAACAGTGAATGGCAATGATCTTCAGGCCTTCGGGCAGCAATGCATTCAAAACAATGCAACTTAAACTCCACCACTGAATGCAGAGAAAGTCCACAAGATGCTGCCGCTCCCTTCTGTGGCTCTAAACTCGTTTAAAATGGACTCAGAAGATAAAACTGTCTTGCTGTAGTTTGAGTAACGATTATGTTCTGTGTTCTCCCTTCGTCAGATCACGGAGAACTGGAACTATTCGGCATGTTTTCTGCACAGTTGGAGGCAGTGGAAACACCATTAATGCTGGCTTTGGAGTCAGGTGCCGTCGCTCAGATGACGTCTTATCAAGAAAGGCCAAACAACATTTTGTACGGTGATAAACTGACCTGCCTGCTAACAAACAGCCAAATCTCAAATGTTCAACACTTTATTAGTTGTCTGTAGCACTTCCTGTTGAATTTAGTTTGCAAAGCACCCCAACTTTTTCTGGCTTTTTACAGGCCAATTTAAAGTCGCAAATTAACATTTGTCAAACTATATGAATTGAAAGCATTTGTATATGTGGTGGTTAGTAAAAAAAAGTAGGATTAAAATATACTCGTTTGGTGTCTAGCTGCTGTATCTAAAACACACACAGAAAACTGAAAAGACAAAAACACTGACCGTGTAGAAACAGCCTAGAGACCATCAAGCCCTCCACCAGCACCCTAAATTTTAGTACACAAGCATACTTTGTTGCTCACCGAATCCAGTCAGTGCCTGCTTAAGCTCTTGTTTATCGATGAAGCCGGAGTTGTCCCTGTCGTAGTTCCTGAAGATGTTCTGCCAGTCCGTGATGTACTTCCACACACCGGCAAACTCGTTGAAGTTCACCCCGCCTTTATTTTCTCTGTCGAACATGGCTGAAGTAGAATATAACGCATATTAAATGCACCGGTACTGACAACATATATGCATATGCACGCACACTGGTAGACATTCTGGACATTAAATGTGGTTGGGACAGTTTTAAGGACACGAGAGTGAGTACGGCACCGCATACATCTTTGCAGGGCTATCAGGGAACAGCAGAATTAACAGTGTGGGACAGCAAGACTCACACTTGACTAACTCCTGCCTCATAAGACAGCGAAAGAAAACAGCTTGATCCCCCCACCAGTACTCCACTCCTCACCCCCATGCGCTTCAATCCAATTACCTCCCAACAAAGGGAGTGTTATCACAGGATATGCTTCTTGCTGTGGGAGTACTAAACAATGGATTTACTGCGCATGGTGCAGTGGAAAGGAGAGGCGATGGAATTATAGGGATTTACTTTGGAAGTCGCACAACAAACGGAGAGTGCAAAGTACATGCGAGACCCAGGGACAGACATTTTTTAACATACTTCTGGTCTTGGAGTTTAAAAATAAATAAGCCGCAGCTATTCGTGTACAGAGAGTACAAAAGAATCGTTTAGTACAGTGTGATTCAGAGTCAGTGTGTTTAAAAGATCAACTACACTGCAAAGTTTCCAGTTTTTAACCTCAGCTGTATATTATAAAAGAGTCAACAGATCAATATTTGAAGTCTGAGGAAACTCTCAGCTGCCCTTTAGGACCAGCTTTTCAATTTCCTTGCAGATATTCCCCTCTTCCTGGTTTTATTGATGGCTGCAGGTTTCCACTAAAGCAGGAGAACAGCAGAGGCTTGTTTGTGTCTTCAGATTGCTCGCTGTTTAATGAACTAATCTGGTTGTCATGGCATGGAGGCAGATAAACAACCTGAATATTTCCAGAACAAGAGGCAGTGTGTGGAAGTTGGTTGTCTCACCGTCACTGGTCACTTACATATAATGGAGCGGACGGTCACTGGGTTGAAAGGAGTCCACGTGCCTGTGAAACAGAGGAGCGCTGGTTAAAAATACACCAAGACCTGCAGCAACATCCAGCTGCTAAATGCCCCAAAGAAACTGATATAATGATAACAGAGCTGAGGTAGCAGTAATGATATAATAAATCTTTAGGGAGTGCAGTAGAGTTTTGTAAGAGCCACAGCAGCCGTGGGATTTTTTGTTTTTTTAACACCAACTGTGTGGAACTGCAGTTAAAATTGGCATCATCACAATAAACAGAAAATAAACACTCTTCTTGCTATTGGAGCTTAATTAAACATTTTCACAAGATTAGCATTTTAGCGGGGCCTGTATTTATTTCCTAAGATCACGACATACCCAAGAAAGAATCTGATTTTACTGCTTTTTAATGAGTTCATTATCTCGAGACGATAACTGAAATGCAACGCCCGGCTTCATTTGACCAAACATAACAGTACTGTAGACATACTTGACTGTACTATCTACAAAATGTACTTCCTGCCACTGTTATTATGATTGTATGTGCACTGTGCATGAAATACATTGGTAGTGTCCATGTAAGGCAGATGACTTTCAATGCGAACAAGCCCACACTGCGGCGCTTTACGTTTCATAAATCAGAAAATTACCATAGTAACCCATCAAGCAGATGATAATGAAAAATGATGATCATTAGTGTAGTCTCATGTGCGTTATTATGAGAGATGTGAATGAGTGAAGAGGGAATGATTTTGCAGACACACTTTTTTTCACAGCAGCTGTTGAGTTGCCGTGGCAGGGACCTGAAACCTGCAGAAAGCAGCAATCCCTGATATCACCTATCACAAATGTTACTAATCTACTGCGATTGTCCTTTAATGGCACGTCAAACCGTCTGCCATTAACATGATTTATTGTGCCTGCTGACTCACTATCACACCGTCATCCTCAAAGGACACTTGATTAAAACAGAGCCATTAATACTGTGATTAATTCCACTCCAGCAATGACAAATCAAAAGTTTGCTGTGAAGACAGCCTATGTCTATGAGGCCACCCCCGATTTCTTTATGTTTTGCGCCCAAGGAGTCACGCTTGCTTGGATTTTTTTTTTTTTTAAAGTGGTCTCCAGTAACAGTTCTCCAGGCTTTTGAAGGGTTTTTTTATTTAACACTGACATGTAAATCATTAAAAAATTGGATCTAAATCAAGGGATGAACCAGTGTTGTGTCTACACAGAACAAACAACTCTGACTGACGAATGTGAAATTTTGGTTTAAATTACAATGATTATCTGGAGGAATGCAGGACAGAGGTACAGCAGTGAGTGTCTACAGCCATCTGGAAAACATGGTGGAGACTTTGTCATGATTTGGGGCTTTATTTAAGTCAGCAGGGTTGTTTTAATAAAGTTGGAATTGTTGGAATTATTAATGCAGAAAAAACCATTACATTTTGATCTATGGTACATGGACTGATTCTTATACGGTGCTTTTCTACTCTCCCGGAGTACAATGTGCCACGTTCACCCAATCACACCCATTCTCACAAGCACTGTCTCTAAACTGAGAGCAACTTGGGGTTACTGGAGACTGGAGGAGCCAGGGATCGAACCACCAACCTTCCGATCAGTAGGTGACCTGCGCTACCTCCTAAGCCACAGCTACCCTATCACGCAACACCATCTAGAAAGCATAACAGTGATCCCAAACATACTGCCAATTATTTTGGTAATCGAGTAACTGTATAAATCTTTCATTGTATTTACGTGCCATAATAAATTTTAAAAAAAATTAAGTAAACATTTTACTAAATGCAAAAATATATAAATACTCTCAAGTACTCTTGGGCAGAGTTTTATCTCCTGGATGAGGTAGATATGTTGTGTCTTCATGTTTATGAGTTTTTGTGCATGTGTGCGTGTCTGCGTGTTTAAGTATGAAGAAGTCAAGCAAACAGTGAATTATGTCTGTAATGCTTTAACCTCCTAGGACCTGGCGTCCACATATGTTTAAATAACATTTTGGGTTATTTAGACCAAAATACTCAATTTTGCTCTTCAAGGGCCTGATATCCATTTACGAGGACATTTTACTGCTACTGTTCTATCAAAATTTTAAACGAATATCCTCATATGTGGCTCTGATTTTTCATAAAAACAAAAATAAGGTAATTCTTTGTTTTTACATTCATCGGGCCCCAATATGCCTAAATATCAAAGAGAAATTAAAAATGCATGCTGTGGAAAAGTTTGGGTTTTAGGAGGTTAAAGGAGAATGTGGTGGCTGCAATGAAGAAGAACGAGCACATCAGCATTCTGAAATTTGCCGTGAGCTTTGATGCATTGATGCAGACGAGCTCTTAGAAGCCTGGAGAACTGTTCCTGAAGAAGTGACGGGAAAGCTTGACTAAGACAGTTTAATCTGTGCAGAAGATTAAAGGTGGTCATATCAAATATTGACCTTAAGATTTTGTTACAATACTCTCTCTCTACATATCTGTTATTGCACCCATTGGTCCATTTTCCCAGCAAAATACAAAGAAATGAAGGGTGGCTCAAGACTTTTGCAGTTTTTTTTAAAAAGCGGGGGTGAGTTTTATGACAATTTATGTCTTTTTTTTTTCCAGCTACGCATCATTATTTTTCATCTAGAGGACAAACTTCAATTACAAGTGAATCTACCTGTCATATAGGTGGGCGCGAAAAAGAGCGATAGGTCTTTACTTCAGGTGAGTGTTTATACTTTTATAGCCTGCTTCACACTCTCAAGACAGTGAGATTTATCAGGCCATCTAAATAGCTGCTGACTCACCACCTCACTTTATTACAGGCAGGCTGGCAGTTCAGGACCAGGAATAAAGAGAAGCGTGTCTGAGAAGATGTAGAGAAGCGAGGGGAGGCAAGGAAACGCACAAAAGGAGCAGAGATAACAAAAGAGAAGCGACCCGAGGAGATGAGGTGAACAAAACATTTGCAGTTTGGTTCTCATTGCAGTACCTTGAGCTCTCTTGCCTACATTTGCTGACCTAAGGTTGTTTCCTGAAACTCTTTTTGCAGATCCTAAAACAGCCTCTGCAGAATTTCAACAGCTTGCCAAAACTCTGGAGCGTTTTTCACACCGTGCTGCTTGTTTTTGATTTTCCTCCACAGCTATGCCAGCACAGCAGTAAGCAGGTTTGCAGCGCGAGCCTCAAGAGCTTAGATAAGAGGATCTCATTTAAATAAAAAGGTTTCAAATCAAACATAACACAGAAATTGCTTTATTGTTGATTTATTCACACCTCGATTTTACTTGGGAAAGCCCATTAAAGCGTCTAAATAAATAATATGAAGCTGAAACAATTTCAGGACCTCAAAACTTTAAGATTTTGGTACACTAAGTACTGTGTGTGCTTCAGAGGACACTAGTCATTTCCTCCCTCTTGCTCAGTTTGTTTTATTGATGGCTGAGGCCGTCTAGGACTGTGGATAGAGCTGTTTTGGGACAGGCCTGAGGCTCTTACTGACGCTGGGATTTGGGCCAGAATCTATATTCCACTTTCATCCAAAACGAACTAAATAATGAACTAAAGCAACAATCATAAAGTATTATTAGCATATAGATGTGAGGGCAATTTGTAGAAGCGGGTCAGCGTTACAGCATGTCTCTCACAAGTACTTTTTTCATCAAACCACATCTCTCATCGACTAAAATGAATGGCGTGGTGTCATTTATGACCATGTTAAAGGAATACTTCTTTAATCGGGCTACATTTCTGTTTGTCATCTCTATATATACTTCCTTAATGTGGAACAGATGCTTAAAAAAACAAAAAAACAAAACACACACACACACACACACACACACACACACACACACATTTCATTACAAAATGATTGCCTGTTACTTCTTCATTTCAGTAATAGTAGCGAATTATGTGCTACAGCACATTTAAACACAACAATTTAAACTGGAAACTCCCTAATACTTTGATCACCAACAATTCATAGTCAAAAACATAATTCATGTTTTTATGTTTGTATTACTAGTACTAAAACTATTTTAATAGGTAATTTAAAAAAAAATCTGCAGAAACACTCGAATCATTCACTTCATTTATGCACAACTCTCTTAAGGCAACAGCATTTCAATCAGGTTGAGGTCTGGACTTTGAGCGGGTCACTGCTTGCTGATTTTGTTTTTCAGTCATTCTGTTTTAGATCCACTGTGAGCTTTAGCTGTTGGACAGATGGCCAACAGCTAAAGCTCACATTTGACTCTAGATTACTTTGGTATACAGAGGAGTTCATGCTCAACTCTGTAAGGTGTCCAGGTCCTGTGGCTATAAAACATGGCCAAATCATCACGCCTCCCAGGAAGACTGTGGCATTGTGTTAACACACACTTACATGCTCCAAACTAGCAAACAGCAACAACTTCTGCTTTTATAGAGCATCTGGCTGTTACCTGTATAGAAAATATCAGTCTGCCGATAAACTGGTCAGAATCCAATATGGATATAGGATCATGAAAAATGCCGCTTGACGGTTAATCCAGAGTAAAATGTCAACAATTATTTTATTAAATGTAATAAGTTGACTGTAACAAATACCGAGGGATACTGGAATTTTCAGGAGCAAAAAAATTCAGATATTTTTATAGGCTGTTATTATAAGTTATAACTATAATTAAAAGAGTTCGTCACTAGTCCAAAAACAGTGTTTCTAATTTTCCTTTAAATGCATCTTTGATATTTCTATACTACAGTGTTACGTAGCTGTTGGCGTGAGCAGAAATTGGATGTTCAAACATGGATTCAGCTAAAACGCTGTGAATGCTACTCAAACATTAGAGCCAGCAGTAAAATGCCCAAAGGCAGAGCAGAGAACAAGCTGTGACCTTTCCAGACGCACGGGCTCTTCTACACGCATGCATGCACACGCACACACACCTCACACCAGTAGCTAGCTGTGAGGTCACCAATGTATGCTAGACACACTGCGGCTGCCCAGTGTGAAGCGGCCAGTATGGCTGAGATGTTTGTGAGCGTCTGATGGCAGACTGGGACAATACTCCCTCTGTCCCGTCCACACACTGGACCCCTCTCACTGGTGAACTGCCAGTGGCGAGGTGGACAGAAGTGAGAGAATATAAGAGGTGAGGAGGGAGGCGGGCGAGTGGAAAAACGGAGAGCGCTGACCGCAGTGTATACGCATACATGTAACGGTCGTGATGGAGTTCAGTGAGTCGATTGTCCCCTACACGCCTGACATAAGCAAACACGGATTTGAACTTTTCCAAACACACTTTAAATGTTAAGCTCACAAAGTAGCGACACAGACTTGAAACCTCCCGAAACACACATCCTGTATTACTCAGGTAAAGGTTTGACCTTGAGAGCAGCAAAGGGACAGAGCTGCTTGATTATCGTTGAATTAATATAAATGTAAGTGATTGCAATTTAGCTTTTTCTGGGAGTCGCTCAAACCTTGCAATTTGAAATCATGCAAAGAGTACAGTTATGTAGTATGCTGGGAGCTTATCAACAGGAGTATCCAAGCAAGTCATTGCTCAGAGTAAAGAGAATTATAATTAAAGCGACTGCTACAGTCAGCTGTGTGTTTTGTGGTCACATATAAGGAAAACGCATAAGAAGGAATCCAGTCAAAATGGCACCGGTGCCTCACGCCATTAGAAAATGACTGGATCTAACATATTCAGTGCATGACGCAGCTCCTTCACCAGAAGGTGGAAATGCTGAAAAGCTTAACACTGTCTGGGTAATATCCATGCCATCTGACTCAGCTCAGGTTTTACAAAAGTGTACATATGTACAAGTGTAACGGAAAGGGCTGCTGATTGAGTTCCTCAAGCCCGCTCTGCATGTCAGCAGTTTCAGTGGAGCTCTTACACAAATAACTCAAGCAGGAGAGTGGGGGAGCATGGAGGCAAGTTGGTAGGGTATCTGCTTACTGCTGAGCAAAGAGACGAGGCCAGAAAAAAAATCCATATTTATAGCAAATGGCCCGGCTAAAAGGCATACGGACAAAACAGACAGGCACGTGTGCTTCCAACAGCACAGAGCCATCGCTGTTTCATCACGGTAACACCCAGGACTGAGAGAGAGAGGAGGGAAGATAGTTTCACTTTCCCTCTCTGTGTGTCTGTCTAAGTAAGGGTGAGAGACAAAGAGACAAAGTCAGAGTAAGAGAGGACAAGGAGACAGAGGGCATGGCAGGAAAACAGCCGGTACCATATCCTCAAGAGAAATGTAAGAGGAGAGGAGAGGAGATGTTGTATAATCCTATGTTTAAAATGTTTAAAATGCCTTTTTCTAGCCGACTGATTTCTTTTTTCTACCTGGAAAAAGAAAATACATGTAAAAAAAAGCAGGAGATTAAAAGATTTCTGCACAAAGCAAAAGGAAAAAAGAAACATATGAAGTGAAGCCCGGATCATTTTCTATGTGCAGAAGACAGGTAGGCAGAGCGCTGATGGACGATAAGAAAACCAGAGTATGTGATGCAGAAACAGCAGCAGAGGATGAAAGAGTTTAACTGGCCCAGCCTCCCTCCTGAACCTTGATGCTCTCTGCTCTCCTCAGAGACAGGGGTAAAGAAGAATAGGTAGACGAAGCATAGTTGATGGCAGGAAACTGATTCAAAAAAGCAGAATGCAGAGACAGTAGAGCTGCAACAGACAGTCGAGCGGCGGGTTGTCTTTAGGAAGCTGCAGGACAGGATGCAGTGCGCCGTGTTCGGCTTGACTGGCTCGGTTTCATTTCCCAATGAATCTAATGAACTAGGAGAGACTGGACCGGGAAACCTGCCGTTCGCTGCACGCATACGCAGCGAGGAGCACACAAACACAACAGCGAGTCCAAAAAAACAAGAAGAGACTCACTGACCCTTGGCAAAAAAACCAAAAATCTGATGAAATGAGCAACGCATACACGCTTGCCTCGCACAAACACACACTACACACTAATCAGTATGCTGTGCCAGAGTCACTGCGCAGCCCGATAACAGCTTCTTTCAGTGCTGCTGCTGGCTCTCACACTTCTTTTTTGCCTCTTTCTCTCTTTTGAAGTGCCCAGAAAAATGGGTTTCTGGGCAGCGTAATCTGCTGAAAAGTCTTTGAAAAGCTGCTGGAGCAAATCAAACAAAAGCTTGATGGGGGAAGACATTATATTATAATGAATATACAAACATCAACCCTGTGCCACAGTTTCTGGTCTAACGGTGTCACATTAATCGTTAACCCATTTTAACTGTGCCGTCTCACTTCAAACAAGGTCAAGAAGCGACGCAGCGATGAGTGTAGCAGGAAAATAGATGCCTGCTCTGTTGTGGCAGCTCTCCTCATCATTACGAGCATAAAAAAAATAAATACATAAACAAATAATAAGTGACTTCATTTTCCAGGATGTGAGCAGAGAAGATGACCCGTATCATTTATTCAGTGCTTCTCTTGAAACCGCTGGGGAGGAATAACAAGCACTCCGTTTCTTTTCTTTTAATTTGTTAAGGAAATGAAGCCTCGTCCCTGTCTGAATGCAGCTCCTCCTGCAGAGCTACGAGACTAAGAGGGACTGTGCCTCCATTACTAGCAGCTGTAAGCCTCATGAAACATCCCTGGGTTTTCAATCAGATTAATACATTCTGCAGGAGAGAAAGCACACCCCTTATATAAAGTCACCCAGCCTCAAAAACAACTTTATGAAAGACAAAAGCAAGAGTTTAAAAGTTTAAGCAGTTTATGAGCTGTAGCTAACTAGTTAATTAAGCCACCATTAGCCTATGTGGCACAGGCATGATTGGGGTTGTTATCCATGGCTGACATTTAATTGCTTCCAGCTGACTCACCTTTAAAACTCTGCTAAAGGGTTTTACTTAACAGTCACCTACAATACATTGCAAATTCACATTATCGCACTAAAAGACTATAAGTGCTGAGTAAATGTCAACATCGTCAGCTGCTGATGAACCACACAGGATTCCTCCAAGTTTACCAGGGGATAGAAACTATGATGTAATTCTGTCATACTACTGTTTAATTGCACTGCATACATGCTTAGATAGTTAACCAGAGGCAGATTTATGCATTATTGTCCCCCCTTTTAAAACTCTGTGCTTCACTTTTAATTATACAAGAGCAAGAGAGAAGAGAAAGCACAATAAAATGGCTTTCAGAGTGACTTAGATAAATAGAAATGCTTTATTACGCTATGTCAGTATTAGCATGTTTTAATCTCTGTCCACACAAGCATTTTAGCACAGCATCAGCGATCATCTCCATGTATAAAAGCATGTGTTAGCTCGTATAAATGGCAGGTGTTCATTGCCTTTAGAAACTATTTGAGGTTTGGTGCCTTTTGGAGCATTTTATTGGAACTATTTGACCTATCATGTGACCTCCTGTCCTGTGCCAGTTTTGCTTTCTATAGTTTATGGATTTGTTAACTTCACACGCTTTTGTATAAATATGGTCATTATTACTGGCGTCAACAAAACAAAAGCCAGTTTCCATCTTTTATAAGCAGTCTGTGCTTATTCCTATTACGATGATGTGAGAGCATTCATCTTGTTTGAACTTTTGAAGAGTGTGACAAAATCCACACCCACAGTTTCAGTTAGCATCCTGTACGGTGTGGCGCTGGCTGTCATTGCTGGGACACAGAAGAATATCAAAGTATTTTCTCTCGAGCTACGCCGTTAAACTCTTCACCTACTCCTCTGTTCTGGGACAAAAATAAAACTCCATTCATTTTTATCCGGTTCACCTGCTATCGATGGGATAAAAATAAAATCCCCATCCATTTTTCTGCTTTAACATGCCGTTGCTTAAATCAAAGAGTGAGCCAGTGACCAGTGGTGTGTAACGAGGAGATGGGAGACAAAGAGAGAGACACACAGGGGAGCAAAGAAGAACAGAGGGAATTAAGAAGAAAGGGAAAAATGATATATTGACATAGAAAAGGAGGTGAGATATATATAGATATTTATAGAACGGGAAAGAAAGACAATAACAGTAGTGGCAGAAATTCCAAGACACTGATCCATACCGTTCGATAAGGCTTGCTGAAGCTCCGTGTCTGATATCACTCCACTCCGGTCCTTGTCGACCCTGGGGAGGAAAACACAGATTAGATACCGCCTGCTTTAACCACTTCACACCAGGACACAATCCCAACACACAAAAGCAGCATGCACCAGCGCTCGCCAACTGAAACCTCATCCTGCTGATCATGTGTTAGTGTTTCAACAGTGCACAGAGAATGAATGGAAGTCTGTGATCAGGGTGCACAAGACAGTTTGTACACTCAGAGATCAGAGAAACCAGCCAGACAAGGTCTAAAGGTTTGTGTGTGTTAGTGTGTGTTGGTCCTGAGAATGCAAACTAAAACAGGTTGTTGCTTCGTAACTTTTAGTGCCCACAGCATAGTGCCTGCTTGGAAGATTCTTTTAAGTGATAGTGAAACCAAAAGTTAAAATTTGTCATATTTGACATATGTGCACAGCAATGCTATTTTGACTACCTGGCAATACATAAAAGAATGTATCAGGCTGCCTCCTGCCAACAACACTGACAGTTTAATTAAATTATATCAGAGAGAGAGAAAAGTCTTCACAAAACAAAGCAGAATTACTCAAGAAAATTAAATTTGTCTCTTTTTGTCCCAGATCCTGAAGTTACAGCTCATACAGTCAGTAAATCAACTGACTGGAAACTAGCAAGCAAAAAGCACTGCTCTTTGTTTGAGCCAGTTTTCTCAGGTCACTTTGGATCTTGGAGAACTTTAGTTTTCATTACTTGAATATGTTTTGCAGGTGAAGTGACAACAAATCAAAGGGCTTTAAACTTAGGATTGATGTAATTATTATGGATCATTTCTACTTTAAAATGTTAGCAAATGGGTTAAGAGCTTCATAGACCAGGGTCATTGAATTTACTGTCACAGTTCACCAACTATTCAGGTGTTTTAGCCCTAATGGAGCCACCAAAGCTAGTAAAGCATCCAAAGGTAGTGCTGCTTCTTTAAGTACATTTCTACTCTGTGTAGGTATTTAAAGAAAGAACTGAAGGAAAGTGCTACTGATGAGGTGACTCACTGGCAGACTTTAAGCAAAGAAAGGGAATGGGATGCGATGTAATTATTAATGTACACTTACAGTACCTTTAAGGAGAGCAATCTTTGTCATTTCTATGTCTTTATGCCAGAGTAGCTTTCCTGATACACAGATCATAATTTATCTCATAATTATGCTCCCTTCCTCTGGCCCTTTTAGAAGACTTTGTTCTGATTGGCTGCCCCTCATAAACAGAAGGTTTAAACACCAGGTGGGTGGGGCTTCTGTGCTCAAGAAGCCCTTATATGTGCACACTTCAGCCTTCAATTGCCCTTCACTCCTTGGGAATTAGGTGATGCAGCTTCACTTTCCTCCCACTACTTTGGAGCTGAAACATTGATAAAAGTTCAGCTTTTCAATTCCCAGAAGTTGCAAACATCAGCCAATCAAAGCAGATTTCAAATTCACCAGCG